TCTGAGATGGGTGCTGATTTGTCATGTGGAGAAACTGTCATGGCCCACCTTCCCCATAGATCCCAGAAAGCAGCCCTGTGGGGTGTGTCGTTTGACATCTGGAGATAAATGTATACACTGGGGTTCCCTGAATTTGATGAAGGATGTGGGGCATGCTGTGTCTGCACGAGGGAGCATGATGGACCCCGGGGCTGCTAGTGAGTCCTCCCAAATGGAGCACTTACTTGATGAGGTTCGGGGTGTGGCTGGGGCTGGGGTGTGGTGAAATAAGTGGCCTTATCCACACTGCCATTTCCATGGTGATTGCTGCATTGATTTGGGGCTGCAAAGTCCTGTCCTCCCCATTTAAGAAAGTTTACACAGATTTGTTTCTGTGTAATTGGCAAATTGTGGCAGACTGCATGGGGTTCTAGATATGATCTGAAATTAGAACCAGCGTAGTCACTGCAAGGTCACTAGAGGCCATCCACCAGCTCTTAGCCCAAGAGTATGAGCCTAGTTAACCCAGATACCATCTGGGATTGCATAGTACTATGGGTTTTGAAAAAAATTAGCTTGTATTTCTCCAAAGGCTCCCTAGGATTTCCAAGGGAATGTGCCTCCATGGAATTTGAATGTATAGGTATACTATCTCTGCGCCATCACTCAATCCAGAAATCAAAAGTGGCCCCTCATCAGTTTCCAGTTGTACATACTGATTCACATATGTATTTTACTGAAGCTCTAAAAGTCATCAGGGAAGAAGAAAAGTCATCAGGGAAGAAGACTTTTTAAAAAATGGATGGGAGTCACTTTGCAGCACAAAGAGATGATTATAAATGGCAAGAACAGGAAAGCTCTGATTCAACATTGAGGTGAAGGGACCTTTTAACCTCACTGCCTCTGAGGGTGTGTTGGTGACCGTCTCCCCACACCTAGCCAGCCCCTCTCCTCTCTGCCTGCTCCAGTGCTCTTTTCTTGTCCAGCATCTAGGAGGGAGGAAGGAGGCACAAGCAGGACTCTCCTGGGCTTCTTCATCCCAAGGTCTCACTGACTCACAGACCTTGAGACTCAAGAGCACGCTCTGCAGTCACACACACACACACACACACACACACACACACACACACACACACACGAGTTTTCTCTCCAAAAAGAATTCTGATGTCAGTTCTTAATCGATTTTTCACTTCCTTAAATATACAAAACGAAAACTCTGCCCCGCCTGGAGGAGATTAGACTCTAATATGCCTCCACCCCCCTC